TGTCTAGTACAAAAAGCAAAAGATTTAAAGCAAAATAATTTATATTATTTGAAAAAGTTGTTTTACGTACATTTCATCATAATTTAAGTAGAACTTAGTAAAGCAAGGGAAACGTGTTGAATTAAGCACAATGAACTCAATCTTAAAAGAATAACTAACAGAAGAGAGGTTGTCACTATTGTGAAGGTGACGAAAGATCTGTAATATAGAACATGGAGGTCAAAAAATACTATCTTAAGTAAAAAGAGTTTGATGAACAAAAGTTACAATGACTGCGGGATGCGAACCCGGATCTCTGCGGCGAATTGTCACGTATCTGACTGATTGAACTATACAATCTTATACTTAAATTTATATCTTATTAAAATTAAAAAACAATATTTTCTAAGATCTATACTTCGAAAAGTGTATTCAAACAGGACTCTACATACCTTTAAAATCTGCTAGAATTTTAGTAACATGCTCACTTTTAGAAATTATTGAAACAGATATATTTTATCAGAAATATGCTTAAGCTAAAGCATATTTTTGAGCCTCTTTTTACTATTTGCTTAAGCATATTCGAACCTGTTTCAAAAATTTCATGTGCTTTAAAAAAAAAAACATGTATATTCCTACCCATCATTCTTATTTTTAATATACCTAATGAGTTCAAAAAACATTGTTGTATATACTTATTATGGCACGTTTCGTAAGTTTATTTCCGTTAAGAATTCTTTTGTATGTTGTGATCCAAAATACTTTCGTTTCGAAAGAAATTTTATTTTTTATCAATATTTCTAAAAATAAAACCATAAAAATTTAATATGTTATTACACTGAAAATAAAAATTCATTATAAACATTTTGGGATTTAAAGATGTTAATTTTTACAATTAAAATTGGTCTGGCAAACAAATTTTCTTTATAGACTTCAAAACGTCGTTTGGCGAATGTTTGTTTCGCAAGTGCGACTTCCGAAACCGCTACTTTCGTATGTTGCAAAATAGTTTTGTTTCGTATGTCAACATGCGAAATGCTAAATTTCGAAAGTGGCTTTTGCAAAATGAACATCGGCGATTTTAAATGTTTTGTAACATTCGGTACGAAAAAATGTAATTCCGTGTTCTCAATCTCCTTACGAAAGAATGTTGTTTTTCCGGAATTGCACGAAATCCTCCGGTTAACAACCCTAATTTAGACAGTTGTCAAAAATTAAGATTATTAGAAGTGTATTTTAAACTTAAGATAAAAAAGAATGAATAAATATTTTGAGGAACGAATAAATGCCTGAGGAACATATTTAGACAGTTATCAGGTCAAAAATAAATATTAATAGAAATCTTTTTAAAATTATACTCAGACAAAAAAAAGACAAAAAGATTACCCAAACACCCAAACAATACTTAAAAAAATAAAAAACAAACTTCTTATAAACAATCAAAATGAACAAACAAATACATCAAATATTGTTTAGCAAACAAATACAGCAAATATTGTTTACCAAACAAATCAACCTCTAAATTAGGGTCAGCATTCGGCAATGCCAACCTAAAAGTGTTTGAGGTTGGCAAAAAAATTATTGGCCTCATTTCTATGTTTTATAACCCCTTTGAGTAAAATTTTTTTGCCCACCTGATACCGATCTCTAACAGTTTGAGGTTGGAAATTTTTTGCCAACCTCATTTTTCCTAATTCCAAGGGTTGATAAATATTTTTCACCAAAAAAATACAACAAATATTGTTCACCAAGCAAATACATATAAAATAAAAAATTTACAGCAAAATTAAAAAAAAACATGCACACAATAAAATAGGACTTGAAAATAAAAAATAAAAATTAAGGCTAATGTATATATGTAATTTTTGTGGTGGTTTTTTGGTTAAGTAATAAAATTCTACTCAGCTTTTACTATTACTGGCATTTCAAAAAGGATCAGCACTAATCACAAGTTTATTCTGTCAGATAAACATCAATGCAACTTAAGACATATTCAAAAGTGTAGTAAAACTAATTACAAATAGCCAAAAATCCAACCACACCCAAATTTGTAAAGCACTTTAAATTTTTTTGATAAAATGATATAGAAATTGTAGATCTATTATATAATCTTATGTTTCAATTTATGAAATCCATTTCACATCTTCAAAAAGTTGGATTTTCAAAATCAATTTAGTTTCATGTTTTGACCTATAAATGCTATATATATATATATATATATATATATATATATATATATATATATATATATATATATATATATATATATATATATATATATATATACATATATATATATATATATATATATATATATATATATATATATATATATATATATATATATGTTTTAAAGACGAAACGAACTATACTCCCACAGCAAACAGTTCAGGAGTCTGGAGTCATAGCATGTCATGACATAAGCAATCAGCTGACAGGTAACAGCACACAAGAAGAATTTTGTTGACAAGTGCCATTTTGCAGTGGACAAACCAAGTGCAACTTTTTTGGTTTGTTTCGTTTTCTTAAGTCTGGCCCGTTTCAACATTGCGGAAGTTTTTTAATAATTAAAGGAAGTATCCAGAAGTTTCCAGAAGCATACAGAAGCTCCCAGAAGTTTCCAGAAGAAGCATCTGGAAGCATCCAGAAGCATCCAGAAGTATCCAGAAACATTCATTTTCAGCAAGACAACGATCCAAAACACACTGCAAAAGTAGTCAAGCAGTAGTTTCAAGACAACCACTTATCAGTGATAGATTGGCCGTCTCAATCTCCGGATCTTAACCCTATCGAGAACCTGTGGGAGATTGTCAACCGTAAAATTAATCGTGAAGGTGTTGGTAATAAGGATTATCTGTTTGAACAAATCCAAAAAACCTGGGTAGCAATTCCACAAAGTTTTATTGATCACCTGATCGAATCTATGCCTCGATCACCTGATCAAATCTATGCCTCGATCACCTGATCGAATCTATGCCTCGAAGATGCAAGGTTGTGATCGACAACAAAGGATTTGCCATGAAATATTGATAGCGATATACAGCTTGGTCAACATTTTCTGGAGTTGCACTTGTTTTGTCCAGAAGGAAATCAAGTTTTTTTAATACTTTTGATTAATTTATTAATTATCTTGTACAAATAATGAACTTTGTGATGAATAAAACTTGGAGAATGTTGTCTCTAAACAGTTACATTTTTATTTCTCTAAATTGAAATAATGCAGCACTTTTATATAAAGAAACTAATTTAGCATTATTTGGTTGCACTTGTTTTTTCCGATACTGTATATATATATATATATATATATATATATATATATATATATATATATATATATATATATATATATATATATATATATATATATATATATATATATATATATATATATATATAAATTTACAATTTATGATAAAAATATTGTTAAACTATTTGAGAAATTTGAGTTATTTGACAAAATATGTGACCAAGCCTAGCACTATAATAAGACACAAAAAATATTCACTTTTTTTGAAAAAAATAAAACAAAATGCAGTCTGACTTGATTCACACCACTGATTATCAAAATTTATGTTATATAGTTTCGAAAAAAAAGTTTTTTTAGATGAAATTAATTAAAGTGTTAAAAATTTTAAAAGGATTCAATCCTAGACAGCACATTTCAGCCTAGTACAATTAACAATTTTTACAGTAATAATTGAGCACCATGAAATTTGTGAAACTATGACCTTTGTAAGAGATATAACTTCTTAGCAGAAAAACATTGAATAGTACTAGTTGGTGTTGAGGCTGTGTTGAAAAACAAAGAAAGAAATTTAATCAATAATAGACGCATATCTGTAAAGAACAGGAAAAAATTTCAAGATGCATAAGATGGACTAGAAAGTAAAGTCAGGCTTATTGAATCTACTTATATTGTGACCAAAAAAGATGGTTTAAATTAATTTTTTGAAGAATGCAAAAAATATCAAAAATATTTCTAAACAGTACAACTTTATCAATAATGCAAGCAAATTGGAAACAAGTTTAGTGAAACAATTTTAAAACATAAGATATTTTCTTCTTTTTATGTAACTATTTGTGTAATTTGAAAAAAAAAATTCTTTGAACTAATAAAAATTTACTTAAACAGCAATGTACAACATCAAATATACAACATCAAATGAGATGACTTTCTCTCTCTATATATATATAAATATCTCTCTCTCTCTCTCTCTCTCTCTATATATATATATATATATATATATATATATATATATATATATATATATATATATATATATATATATATATATATATATATATATATATATATATATATATATATATATATATATATATATATATATATATATATATATATATATATATATATATATATATATATATATATATATATATATATATATACAGAGAGAGAGAGATAGAGATATTTGTATATAGAGAGAGAAAGTCATCTCATTTGACATTGTATATTTGATGTTGTGTATTTGATGAGTTTCTATATGAAAAAACATTGCTGTTTAAGTAAATTTTTATTAGTTCAAAAAAATTTTTTTTTTAAGTTACACAAATAGTATTATATATATATATATATATATATATATATATATATATATATATATATATATATATATATATATATATATATATATATATATATATATATATATATATATATATATATATTTATATATATGTATATATATATATATATATATATATATATATATATAATATATATATATATATATATTTATATATATGTATATATATATATATATATATATATATATATATATATATATATATATATAAATATATATATATATATATATATATATATATATATATATATATATATATATATATATATATATATATCTTTCAGACAAGGAGCCTGGGAACAAAAAAAAGCCCAAAATTTTTGCCCCTCCTTCTGCCCCAAACGTGAGAGCAATAAGTTAATAAAATAATTTTTAACATTACATATTGGTCATAGTATATAACTTAACACAAACCTCTGTATTATCCTCATATATTTTTAATTTATGTTTAATTTCAGTATGGCTAAAAGTTTCATTTGTTGCTGACATGTTGATTTCACTAATTGCTGGCCTACAAAAAAAAAAGTAAAAGAGACCAATCTGTAGTAAGAGATTATAGTAATCTATGTATAATGTATGTATATATATATACATATATATACATATATATATATATATATATATATATATATATATATATATATATATATATATATATATATATATATATATATATATATTTATATATATATATATGTTTACAGTAGCGCCAAAAGCTAAGTGAGTTAAGGAAGCTAAATGTATGTAAGCACTTTCCTCTACTGCCCGAATATAAATATTGCAATAAAAACAATTTAAAGTAAAAGTACTTAAGTCAACATTAAAAAATAAAGAATATATATATATATATATATATATATATATATATATATATATATATATATATATATATATATATTTACAATAATTTTCGAAAATTTGCGAAGCAGGGTAAAAAAATTTGAATTTTACCAATATTTCAGGTCATACTTTACTAAAGCCAATATATTATATACCAATTAAAACTATGTTTTAAACAAATATTGATATTTAATCAGTGTATTTTAATTGATTAAAATAATAGCAATTTTTGATGAGTTCAAAAATTTGCAGACAAAGCGTTTGTATTTAAAAAAGTAGGAACTTTTTAACAATTAAAATTTATTAAAAATCAAAATGATCAACATTTATTAAAAATGAAAAATTAAATTAACATTTTGTAGGACAATCTTTATAAATAATAGCTTAGTATCTAGGAGGCATAAAGTCAACTAAATTAATGCAAACATCAATGTGAATTGAGTGCAATACTTTTTTGATTTTTCTGAACATATCTAGTATTTGATGGTCAACAAATTGCCATAAATATTTAATGGCGTCTTATTTCAACAAAGCCAGTTGATTAGGATATCAACTTCAAACAAAGAAAATTACTTTTTTTGAAGAATTCTTGAACTGAAGTGCTTATGTGTTTTGGGTTGTTTTCCTGACCTTAAATCCATCCACAAGGCATTTTAATCTTCCCATGAGATAACAAAATGCTCTTATATATGTCTTTGTATATTTCTTGATCAACAGTTCTAGTATATCAATGGAGCGGATCAACACTGTTCCAACTAAAACATCCTAAAACCATTACATTACCTCCATCATGTTTAAGGGTAAGCAGTTAGAATTTAAGATTGCAGTTTGTAACTGATCCAAACTCCGTAAACTTGTTTTCATCCAAGAAAAGATTTTTTAATCAAAGTTGACTACTCCAGTTTAGATGCTGTAATGTTAATTCTTCTCAGGCATTACAGCTTTTAGGTCAATCTGTGGCTCTTGCATTGGGTGTCTGTGGCTCTTGCGTTGGGTGTCTTCCAAAGACATTTGCTGTCAAAAGTGGTTTTTAACTGAACAACTCTGGCTTTCACTCTCTATAAATAACTATTCTTCCTTACTTAGTGCAATCTATAGGCCTCCTACTTTTGGTAACCACCAAAACAACAACCTTATAGATTTCAAAATCAATAACATCAAATTAGCTGTAAATGCTGTCTAACAAAATAATTGGGTGTAGTCTGTCAATCTCATTAAAGTCTACTTAGAAGTTATAGTTTTCTTAGCGATTGGACAAATAAATTCACCAGCTCCAACTTAATCTATAAAAAAGATGAGTTGTTTGTCCACTAAACTATCAAATATTAATCGGACATCATTACTAGCCAATAAAAATGTATGTATAATAAACTATGTATTGAGTCAATCCCAATCATAAGGCAATATCTAACCTGAAAATAACCTTAAAACTATCTAGACTAAAATCATGGCTATGGTATCTAAACATGGCAAATAAATGGTCCAACTACTACCTACGTTTTAAAGTCCAAAAACTTAAAAATGCGGTACAACCAAGGAAAAAATAGTTTGAAGAAAACTAACAAAAAAGCATGAAATAAATTTGAACTTAACCTTGCTTATGATAAAAAATCCTTAATGTCTGTTCACATATATCAATAGCAAAAACTTGCTATTGATATACATGCTATATCAATAGCTCTGGTTTAATAACGATCAACAAAAAGCAACAAGCAAACATTATCAACAAACAGTTCGAAAACGTTTTCAATTCAACATCTAGCCGGGCATTCATCTAACTATAAAACAACTATCAACTAACAATAAATTTGGTAATATTAGTATTAATACTAATCAAGTCAAGCAACTTATTAGAGAAATGAATCTAAATAAAACACAAAAATCTGATACACAGCTGTCCATCCAAATGGGCAAAACCTTTAGCCATACTGTTTCAGCAGTGACTTAAACAAGGTGAGGTTCCTATTGCATGGAAAGTAGCGAACATGACTTCTATATAGAGATGTGCCGGAACCAGTTTATGCCGAGTCTCCGATTCCGGGTACCCGGCTGAAAAAACTGGGTCCGAGTCCGGGTACTCGGCACCGAGTCCATTTTTTAAAAGTTGGAATAAAAATTTGTGAAATCTCTAGGGCTGAACTATTCACACAAAATACGCTTTTTACGCTAACTAACAAAAAGTTATGTGGCCGACGTACTATTTAGCAAAACCCCGCAATGCAGGAAAAGGGGCCTAAGTTGCAGGGCCTAACTATTTTAAAAAGTTGTGCAACAGTTTTTTAACAACTATATTTAGTTTAAAATTATTTTTCTTTCCTGGTGGAGCGGGCCTAAATAATATTTTGTGGGGAAAGGGGCAAAATTTGAAGTTCCGCCATTGAAAGTTATATTATGGAAAGCAAAAGATTAAGAAATATAAAGAATTGCAAAAAAAGGTAGACCTTCTCGACTGTACAGTGAATAAAATAAAACAAATAAAAAGAACTTAAACAACACTTATTTGCTGTATCTTATTTTAATTGTTTTATTAACTTTAGATTGTAATGCACAAACATTAGGTATTCTCCGTTATCTGCTTTTAGTCTGCTCCTTGTTGCTTCGTATATGTCCCCACCAGCACTAAACAACCTTTCACTTTCTATTGATGACGGAGGTGCTGTAAGATATTTTAATGCCATCTTTTTTAGTTTTTCAAATTGCATTCCACATTTACTCCACCACAAAAACGGAGAACTTTTATTTTCTAAAAGAGGCAGAGATAAGTAGTTGTCTATTTCTTGAGTAATTGCAGACTTTAATATTGTTTGCTTCTTAATTATGTCAGTGGTAACAACTTCAGTATCTACTAATTCTCTTTCTGCCTCGGAACGTCTTTCACTCTGCTTTCTTCCGGTTCTCATAGAAGCTACATCTTTAAAACAATCATCAATGCTAATGAATCCATTAGATGCTGGAGCTTTTACTATTGGAGCATTGTTGGAGTCAGAGTCAACAACATCTTGCGCTCCTTGCATTTCTTTCCATGCTTCTTCAACCCACTCCTTAATAACATTTTCATCTGCATGTTGATAAAGTAATTTATATCGTGGATCCAAAAATGTTGATAACATTTTATTAAGCAAAAATTTATCAAGTCTTTTAGTAACAGATTTTATTAGTTCATCAATCATCGTCATAATCCCAGCGTTTATATCACTTGATGAAGCTTTTTGTAATAAAACTTTTAATGCAAGAACAGATGGTATAATTTGTGCGCAAGTTTCGTCCCTCCTACCACATTTTTTTGTTAAGTTTTTAAATGGAGCAAGAATGTGAACAAGTTTTTCGACTATTCCCCATTGATAATTAGTAGGAAGTTTAATTTCATCATATTCTGCTGCATAGGTGGCCAAAGGAACTTTTTGTTCAAACATTCTTTGTAGCATTTCAAATGAACTGTTCCAGCGAGTTGGAACATCTTGTTTCATTTTGTGAGGTACAGTACTTAACTGCTGCTGAATTGATTTTAATTTTGCACATGCTATTGGTGAATGATTAAAATGTGTTGTTATTCCTCTGCATAAAGTTAAAATTTCCTTGATGATTTCTTGGCTAAATATAAAGTCATGAATACATAGCTGCAAAGTATGGATAAAGCATGGAATTGATGACATTCCACTGTTTTTTACTGCAGCCTTCATATTGCTTGCATTATCGGTAACAATAAGATGAATTTTGCTTAACGGGATTTCAAAAGTTTCTAAACCTTTTTGTAAATACTCTTTTATATGAACACCTGTGTGCTTTTCCGGAAAATAAATTACTCGAAGAACAGCAGTTTCTTGGGAAAATTTAGTTAGATCTATCCAATGTCCAGTAATGCTTAAAAATGCGATTTTTGCAGTATTCGCTGTCCAAATATCTGTCGTCAGAGACAAATAGTTTGCCGCGGAGATTTTTATTTTTATATCTTTAAAAAGTTCATCATACATGCTAGGGATTACGTTTTGGCTGAAATATGTTCTACATGGTAATTTGTAATTGGGGTAAGCATCTTTAATCAGTTCATTAAACCCCGTATCTTCAACAATAGAAAATGGCTGAATATCCAATGTGATAAGTTTTCCTATTATTTTATGGATTCGAATAGATCTGTGGTCATCAATATTCCACTGTTTTTTTTTTTGTAAAGCCTGAATAATGTTACTTTGTACTGTATTGGTGGTAGAAGCAACTGAGGCTTCAGAAATAGACGGCAACGATTGAACCTTTTTTTTTTCTTCCGCAAGTTCAAACTCTTTGGAATGCTTTAAACGCAAATGTTTTACCATTGCTGTAGTTCCATAAGACTTGAAAGATTTTCCTCCTCTCGTAATTAAACTATCACATAGTTTGCACTTACTCATATGAGGAGTCGTGCTTATATCAAAGAACTTCCACGCTATACTTTTTTTTGCCATAACTTTTCTTTCAAATAAAATTTCTATAAAGATAATGAAACTAGTTTTGATATCAAAGTTTTCGTTTATTTTATATGAAACGATAATTTTTTTAATAATACGCTCGAAATTAAAATATGAAAAATGTGTATAATATTTACCTTATATCTCTACTTTTATGATTTTTGCTTGATACGAATGAAAAGTCTATCAGCGTTCGAAAGCATTATAAGCGTTTCATTCAAAACTAAAT